ATATATATATATATATATATATATATATATATATATATATATATATATATATCTCAAACAATGTAATACTAATTAATTAAGAATAAACAAACTTTTCATGTTATGAGAAAAGACAAGGATCATTATTGTCATTCACACTCGTACACGGTCAACCATTATTTCCTTGCTACATTAACATATTAGAACGAATAAACTTTAAATATTTGTTATCCAAACATAAAAAGATAATTAATTCAAAAAATATTAATTTTAATATCTCATTCAACTGATAAAATTTGGTGAAAGAATAAGTACGTAGTATTATCATCATTGGATAACATTATACGTAATTTTCAAGATTAGCATCCTTTATGAAAACTTTAAACAAAACCTTTTGATCAGTTAAAACATCAAAACTCACATGATATTCTCGAGGATCTTCACCCTTAACAATAACCACGATGAAAATAAATATTTACGAAAATGTCGTAGCATCTAGATTCTCGCACGTATACAACGTCGCAAGGCTGCAACTTGTGAGTGTTGTTCATATATATATCTACAAAAACCAAATCAATCTAAAATTAAAATGCGATATAAAATAATATATACGTAAATAAACAGATTCAAATTATTATGTGAAAACAATGAGTTAAAAGACATTAAGACATTAATAATTTAAAAAAAATGAAAAATAGACGCAAAACTAATGAAGAACTTCTTTTTGGCAAAATATATAAATCCTAATAAAAAAATGGCCAAAGATGGATGGATAGAAAAATGGGGAGGAAGTTTGGTATATTTATACTTGTGAATACTCGTTAGGTAAATATAGATGTAATATAATAATTTTATACAAATAGTGTAATATATTTGACAAGTAATTGATATTCTAAAAAAAGGGAAAAAAAAAAGATTTTCATTTACTTGAAATAATTAGAGCCCATTAATAATGAATACTAAGAATCAATTTGCATATATTACGGATTAAAAAATAGAAGTTATTGCATTATTAATCAAAAAATCTTAGTACAAAATCGAAAATATTTATGACATAAATCGAAAATCATGTATATATATTAATATGTATAGATTGATATGGTCAAAATTATTTTATTTTAAATTGATATATTTAATTATTTACCATACATGGACATAATTAAAATAAATCATTTTAATTCTATAAATGTAAAATATATAAATTATTGATTAACAATGTATTAATGATATCTCAAAAAAAAAACAATGTATTAATGATTTATTACCTTTATAATTTCATAAGAATCAGTATCTAAAAACGAACACTTGACACTACATTTCATTCCATTAATTTAAATAGTATTATATCATTAATATGATAATGCATTAATAAAATAAATTAATGTAAAATTATAAAACTATATTATTATATTGTTTCAATTTTTTTTATATTATTATAAAAGAAAACTTAATTCAAACATATATTATTTTAAAAACTTGAGTGTTTTAAATTATAATTTAAAACGTGAGATTTAAAAGATTCGAATATTTTATTATAAAACAAATACTAAATTCGAAAATATATATGTAAAAGAAACAAATTGAGTATTCATACTAAATTCGAAAATATATTTCAAAAAATTGAAATTATATAAAAAAAAATTCAAATTTGTAGAATATTGAATGCATGATATATAATATATATGTGATAATTATTAGATGATTGTGCAAATGTGAAATAAGAAAGAACTCAAAAACATACTTAAATAAAAATGCCAACTAATCAATTGAAGAATCCACCTCATCAATTGAACTCCAACTAAACAATTTTGATAAATGACATAGACATTGGCCACATGTCATTCATTAAATTCTCTTTTTATATTATATATAGATGAACTTAATTCTATGGAAAAATTAAAAATTCAAAAGATTTATATATTAGTAAATGAAATCAAATCAAATCAAACAAATAAAGGAAACAACCCAAAAAAATAAAAATAATAAATTGTGGAAAAAAATCTTGCAATAAAAATATTAAATATGAAGATGTCATTTTTTTTACCATTGAATTTTGAATTAAAGTGTAAATTAAATCAATCAAAGATGATATGAAGGAATCTTGGAATATTAAAGACTCATTTGTATTGGTGATTTGATACTTTAAATATGTAATACATGATAATTTCAAATAGTAATTGACAAATATAATGCATAATCTAGTGTATAATTCGAAACATATTATATATTAAATAGTGTATTCGAAATATACTGACAAACCTACTGCATTTAGATTGTTAAAATATATTGCATTTAAATTGTTAAAATATACTGCATTTAAATTGTTAAATTTTCAAATTTCAAAATATTGCATATTTATTAAATAGTATAATTATTTTTAATTTGAAATATGGTATAATAAAAATTATATACAAAAAATATTGTATATTTATTAAATAGTTCAATTAAAAAATAAAACATTTTTTTTATTATTTTTAATGGAATGGATATTCGAATATTCCAAAATATTGAAAATTAAAAAAAAAAGAAAAAAAAAACAACAACAACACCATATTCCTTTATTTTAATATTTTAGTATTTAAAAAAATGTTTTTTTTTATGAAAATTATTTGAATATTCGTAAAAAAATTGAGTTTCATGAATTTTTTAAATAAATATATTTTGAAATACTGAAAAATATAAATAAGATTTTTTTATTTCGAATTTATAAAATATTAACTTTGGAAATAATATATATACATGTGGTAATTATTTAATGATTGTGTAAATGTAAAATAGGAAAGAACTTAAAAACATACCTAAATAAAAATGCCACATAATCAATTGAAGAATCCACCTCATCAATTGAACTCCAACTAAGCAATTTTGACAAATGACATCATCATTTGCCACATGTCAATCATTGAGGGCATAGATCATCTTTTTATATTATATATAGATTGGCCATTGTTCGTAACATCACAATTAGTGCTTTACTTTTATTTATAAAATCAAAATAACTTTATTTATTTTGGGGATTAAATCGTTCTTTACATTTTACGCGTAGTTTATTAGTTTTCCATTTTAAAAGTTTTTAGGAAACTTTTCTGCTACTGTGATTAAATGCTATATTTTTAACCATTTTTTTTTATATATATAAAATAAATGGAGGGGCTGTTATGCAATAGAAGGGTAAAGTTTTTCCAGAAAATGTCACAGCTGGAATAAATGTCATAGTAAAAAAGTCACCAGGCCACGTAGGCAATGACTGACGGATTTTCAACGAAGTGAACTTTACCCTCAAGTTAACGTGTCACGGGCCACATGACCATTGAGTTTTTTGTATCTCAATTTCTACCCTTCACCAAATATTGAATGCATTACATTGTGCCGTGAGGTTAAGTCCAATTATATATTGACCCCACAAATTTTAAAAACGCTACATATTACTACCTAGAATATTAATTTAAACCAAAACTTGAACTTGAGCTCATTATAATATTTCTAAAATATTTTTAAAACAAGATAAAACAACATAAGATATATAACTGATAATTTGAAAAACATTTTTTTCTCTTTAGTGGAAAATAATAAAATTATATATACCACACTGCAATCTCATTCATACGAAGGTTGACGTTTGATATCTCCACCTCATTCATTAATTATTATATTCCTTCTTCTTCTTTTTTTTTTAATTTTTTTTCTTATAAATATTATTACAGCAATATGTAATATTGCAAGAATCCAATTCCAAATTAGAAAAATCTCTATAGTAAAACAATGCCAAATTTTGTGAATCCCCTATCCCTTTTCCAAATCCACAATCTGATTCTAGATTGCTAAGCTGGTCTCAAGATTGCCAGTATCTTCAATCCCCAATATAAATATAGATGCAATTTCTTCATCAATCAAACATTTCTACTATGACAATCTTGCTTGAAACATGTGGAGTTGCACCCCCTCCGGGCGGCATCCTGGCGGAGCTATCACTACCGCTCACATTCTTCGACATTCGATGGATCCATCACCATCCGGTTGGTTCCGTTCTCTTCTACAACCACCCTTGTTCCAAACCCTATTTCCTAGAAACCCTAGTTCCAAAACTCAAAGAATCACTCTCTCTCACTCTCAAACACTATCTCCCAATAGCAGGCAATTTGCTCTACCCTTTAATAACCACCGAGAAAAAGCCCGTTTTCCGATTTATTTCTGGTGACTCGGTTTCTTTGACAATAGCCGAATCGGAAAATGATAATTTCGACGAGCTTGTCACAAACCATGCACGAGATGCCGACCAGTTCTATGATTTCATGCCCAATATGCCACCGATAAAAGACGAAACCGAATACAAAATATTAGATGTCATGGCTATACAAGTTACGTTGTTTCCAGGCCGTGGTATATGTGTCGGTTTCACGAATCATCATAGTCTTGGCGACGGGAGTTCGATCGTAGGGTTCATGCATGCATGGGCTTCAGTCAACAAACTTGGTGAGTCGTTTCTTACCGAAAAAGGTGATTCTTTGCCGATTTTTGATAGATCTGTAATTCAAGATACACTCGGGATCGATGCTATCTTCTGGAAATCAATGAGAGAGATTCCATTGAAGTCGTCGCAATCTTTTCCGTTACCAACAAACAGGGTTAGAGCCTCGTACACACTCAACCAAGCCGACATAAAACGGCTAAAGGATTTTGTTCTGACCAAGAAACCAGGATTGGTTCAAGTTTCCTCCTTTGTAATAACCGCGTCTTATGTTTGGGCATTGTTAAGTGTATATTTTTACACTTTATCGTATCTTTTTATTTGAGCTTTTTGTGTGAATTTACGATAATTGGTGCTTAAAAAGTTGATTTATTGTATTCTAGGTACAAATTGAAGAATTGGAAAAGTTTGGGGTCAAAACTGCAATTTTGGAGAAAATATGGGCCAAAAGTGAAATAAACAAAAATGCTGAAAATTGGCTGAAAATGCCCGCGCGGCCGTGCCAAATTTAGCCTATTTTTGGCACGGCCGTGCCAAATGCAGAAATTGGGCAGAAGGTTTCGGCGATTCTCGCGCGGCCGTGCGAGAATTGCACTGATTTTCGCACGGCCGTGCCAAATCACGTTGGAGACAATTTTGGACTTTTAAACACACAAGGAAACCTAGAATCATCTACCAAGTTGGGACATCTATTTAAGCCCAAACCAAGCACGAATCAAAGGACTTTTGAACACAATCTTGGAGCGAGAGGAGCGAGAGAACGAAGAATCGAAGACGGAGAATTGACAAATCTTCATCATAATTCTTCTTTCACCTATCTTTTCTTAATCTATGACTTTTATTACGTTTATTATGTTTTTCGTTATGACTAGCTAAGTTTTTAATCTAGGATTTTGTTGGAACCCTATGTAGGGATGGTGAACCCGTTTTCTTGAGATTATGCAATTATGATTTTATGATTATTTCTTCTACTTGTTATGATTGTTAGTGCATGAACTTGATCAATTTATGTGCTTTATCTGTGATTATTGGGATTGACTCGACAGAGCTATTTTGATAATTAGACGGTAAGTATAAGAACCTTCGAGTAGTTTTCACCGGATGAGTGTGTCAATTGCATGTGGTGTCGTAGACATACAGATATCACCTTAGGTAGCCATTTACAAGACTTGTTAGTTAATGCTTTATTCATAATTTGTTTGCATAGACATATAGTGAACCGTTTATGATTAATAGACTCATAATACACGCGACAGCGGGTTATGAGTAAATTTGTGTCTCGGGTTAATAATCATGAATCATATATTTCATAATTGAGGGGTTTTGGGTGAGCAATTCTTGCATAGGGGGAAGATAAAATCCTAGGTCCGTTTTATATTGATATTTTCTCGTGATTCTTTGCTTTCTTAATTATTTTAATTGTTTAATTGATTTAACTCGACAAACTTGCGTAGGCTGGATAAAAATCATAGTTGTTAGAATTTGGTACTTAGGATTAGATAATTTACGTATTCCCTGTGGGATCGACATCCGACTCTCACGAGTCCACTTTTACTACTTGTTTGCGATACGTGCACTTGCGTGTTAGGTATTTAGCACCCAACAAGTTTTTGGCGCCGTTGCCGGGGGATACGACTATATTATCTATTTATTCTAATATCAAATTTAAGCAATTTTTCTTACTTCAGTCGTTTTATTTATTTTATTTTATTATTTTATTTGCTTATTTTATTTTTATTATTTTTGTTCAGGTACTTTTTATGTGAATGGAAGAAGAGAATAATCGTAGGGGAGATGACCAAGGGTGCCTACCGAATGCGGCAGGAAATATCGTCAACGAGCAAGAGCAACTTCAGCTAATTAATCCACCACCTCGTCAACGAGCATTGCGTGAGTACACCGTTCCAACACTCAATGGGTTTCAATCGAGCATCCAGCAGCCCCCCATTGAAGCCAACAATTTCGAAATTCGAGCGGGACTCCTCACCATGCTCCAAAACAATGGGTTGTTCAGCGGATTAGCTCATGAAGATCCGCATCTCCACTTGGTAAATTTTCTCGAAACGTGTGATTCGCACAAGATGAACGGAGTATCTCCTGAAGCACTGCAACTCCGCCTTTTCAAGCACTCTTTGCAAGGAGCAGCCCGAGAATGGTTACAAACTCGTGCACCACATTCCATCTCATCTTGGCCCCAGCTAGCACAGCTCTTCATGAATACGTACAATTCCCCAACCAAAACTGAGAGAATCCGGAGAGAAATACAAAATTTCATACAAGATGCCGGTGAAGCGTTATTCGAGACGTGGGAGCGGTTCAAACAATTAATTCGGAGATGCCCCAATCATGGTCTTCAAGAGTGGCGGCAACTTCAAATATTTTATGACGGATTGCAAGATAATTCGAGAACGGTGCTCGATTCAGCAGCTGGCGGTATGTTCATGAGCTTGACCTATGACGAAGCATACGAACTTTTGGAGCGAATCGCTAGGAATAAATACATGCGGGCATCGGACCGGTCAAATAGCGGAGCCATAAAGACGGGAGGAATTTTGGAGTTAGACGGGGTCACCGCAATCACTGCCCAGTTAGAAAGGCTATCAAAGCAAGTAGCAGCTTTGCAGACTCAGCAAGTCCATGCAATCAACGGTCCCAACCAGTGCTTAGAAGAAATGGAGTCTCTAAATTACGTGAATGACACCAACCGACAACAGAGGAACCCGTACTCCAACACCTATAATCCGGGATGGAAAGATCACCCCAACTTTGGATGGGGAGGAAATCAGCAAGGACAAAGGCAAGCACCACCTCAAGCTCCACCCCAAGGAGTTGACCTCGCTGACATCTTAGCAAAATTCATGACGGCGACTCAAGCATCCATTCGGAACCTTGAGACACAAATGGGGAAACTTGCAACCCAACTAAACGCGAGGCCGTCGGGAGCACTGCCGTCGAATACGGAAGATCCTCGAAAGAGCAACATCGAGCAGTGCAATGCAGTAAGTTTGAGAAATGGGAGGCAGTTAGAGGAAGGTCCTAAAAAGTCCGTTGCACCACCGCCTATTGTAGAGGAGCCCAAGGAAAAAACCGAGGTCGGGCCAAGCAACACAAAGATCACAGTAAGTGAACCTACTCCCAAGGTACCTTTCCCTCAACGTTTTCAAAACTCTAAGCTTGATATGCAATTTCAATCATTTTTGGATTATCTTAAAAAATTGCTTGTTAATATTCCTTTTGTTGAGGCACTTAAGCATATGCCGAATTGGGTTAAGTTTATAAAGGAACTTGTATCGAAGAAGATGAGGCTTCCGGAGTGTGCAGCAATCATAGACCTCAATGAGCAAAGTAGTGCTATCCTTGCAAATAAAATTCCACCGAAGCTTAGAGATCCGGGCAGTTGTACCATTCCATGCACAATAGGTACTAGGTATTTTGGGCGGGCGTTGTGTGATCAAGGGGCGAGCGTAAATTTAATGCCTTTATCAATTTATGAGAAATTGAATTTAGGAGAAATTAAGCCTACTTCCATGACCTTGCAGCTAGCCGATAGATCTTTTACTCACCCTTTAGGGATAGTGGAGGATGTGTTGGTCAAGGTAGATAAGTTTATACTCCCGGCCGATTTTCTAGTACTAGACATAGAGGAAGATGAAAATATTCCCCTTATTTTAGGACGCCCCTTCTTAGCAACCGGTAGGTCAATTATTGATGTAGGAAAGAGAGAGCTAAGAATGAGTGTGGGGGAAGAAACAGTGATCTTCAAGGTGTACCGGGTGGATGAAAAGCCTATTACGGCTAATGGATGTTATCTTCTTGATGAGGTAAGTGATTCTAAACTTTTTCCTGTTAAATTACATGATTTAAATTTTTTTGTGGATACTAATGTGCATGTAGGAGAACAAAAGAAAAAGGTTGAGTTGGTTACAACACCTACTCAAAACACCGTGATAAAAGACGATGTTGGCAAGCCTCATGACATCAAGAAGAATAAATTCAAGGGCAATCCTAAGCGAACCAGTCGAAAGAAGAATCGGATCAACCCATTTATTCAAGACTTTCTCCAAAAGGAAGTAAGGAGATGGGTTCAAAAGCTAAGGAATTGAAGAGCAAGAACAAAGTCTGGCTGAAGACTATAAACTTAGCGCTTCTCGGGAGGCAACCCGAGATTTTCGTTTTTTATTTTATTTTATTTATTTTTCTTGTTTTATTTTGTTTATTTATTTTATAAGCATGCAAGCTAATAAATTAAACATGTTTTTAATTTTTAGGACCAAAAATCGCAATTTTGCAGCTTACGGCCGTCCCAAAACAAGGCTTAATTTCACACGGCCGTGTGAAAAATATGGAAGCTACTGCCCAATTTTGGCAAATCGCACGGCCGTGCGGAAAATAGTTCAAAATCTCATACGGCCGTGCGAAACTCAACAGAAGCATAATAAAGGCGAGGGTGGAAAGAAAACCGGAGACGGCCAAGACGACTTATTCAGGTGTATTCTATCCTTAAACTTCGTGTTAATTACATTGAGGGCTATGTAAATTTTAAGTTTGGGGGTGGAAAATTACTTGTTTTTATGTGCTTTAATTTTTTAGTTTGCATGCCTTAAGTTTTTTTTATTGAGTTATTTTATTTTAGTTATTTCTTTCAAAAAAATAAAAAATAAAAAAAAATAAAAGTTTGAGATAAATGCTTCGATGAATCATGATGATGAAAGATGGTTGATGTTTAATGATGAAATTACTTGCTTTATCTTGATTGTGATTGAATTTTGGTGAGCTTTTGATTCAAAGTGTCGTAGGAAGGAGTCATTGTTAGGAATCACGAATTATGCCTTGCTTTGGTTGAAAGTTTTGTGTTTTAAAACGTGGTATAAATTTATGCTATATCATATGCTATTCGGTTTTAGAACTTGCCTTAGGAATTTACAAAGTGAAATATTAAATTGTTGAGCAATTTGGGAAGTGATTTGGGCCATCTTTGAACCGTTTGAGCCTTTCAAGCCTACCTTTAAATTTTTATCATTCGAACCTTGATTGAGCCTTGGAGAAACGGTGTTCTTTCTTTTAGCCAATGTGTATAAGGTAGAATAAATGGAGATTCTTGAAAAATTACCCTTTGGAGTTCGGTTGGAAAATTTTATAAGGTCCTTCTTCTTCCTCTACCAAAAAAAAAAAAAAAAAAAAAAAAGAGAAAAAAAAAAGAAGAGAAGAAAAGAGAGAAAGAAGAAGAAGAGACTAGAAGGGAGATGAAAGGACTAGTTGTTGAATTTTTGTTTGAAAGCTCGATCCATTGTCTTAAGAGCAAAAGTGGAGACTTTTGAACTCTTAAAAATCGAGTTTATTAAAAGTCCTTGGAGGTGAATTCATTGTTTCAAACGCTTATCTTTCAAAATTTGGCGTAATCACCTCAATTCAAGAAGCATAGCCACCTATACCCATATCTCCTACCTCGAACCAAAAAGCCCAACATTTGAAAGCCAAAAAGTCCCAATGATCCCAATAGCTCAATTATTTGATACTAGCCGAGTAAAGAAATTTGGTGAATCTTTGGAGTTGAATATTATTATGTAAATATAAATTTTCTCCATTTTTAATGTACAAATATGGGATACTTGAAGCGATAGCATGGTTTGTGGTTTTTAGCAATGGTGAGTGAATACGTATCTTTAAATTACGAGCTTGTAAATTTTTGAGAATTGTCATGATAATTGCAAGTTCTGAAAACATGAAATTGACCATTAATCTATGTGATGAGAAGCATTTGTTGAAAGTGTTGATTTGAAGGTTCCTAGTTTTTGCTTGAGGACAAACAAAAGATCAAGTTTGGGGGTGTGTTAAGTGTATATTTTTACACTTTATCGTATCTTTTTATTTGAGCTTTTTGTGTGAATTTACGATAATTGGTGCTTAAAAAGTTGATTTATTGTATTCTAGGTACAAATTGAAGAATTGGAAAAGTTTGGGGTCAAAACTGCAATTTTGGAGAAAATATGAGCCAAAAGTGAAATAAACAAAAATGCTGAAAATTGGCTGAAAATGCCCGCGCGGCCGTGCCAAATTTAGCCTATTTTTGGCACGGCCGTGCCAAATGCAGAAATTGGGCAGAAGGTTTCAGCGATTCTCGCGCGGCCGTGCGAGAATTGCACTGATTTTCGCGCGGCCGTGCCAAATCACGCTGGAGACAATTTTGGACTTTTAAACACACAAGGAAACCTAGAATCATCTACCAAGTTGGGACATCTATTTAAGCCCAAACCAAGCACGAATCAAAGGACTTTTGAACACAATCTTGGAGCGAGAGGAGCGAGAGAACGAAGAATCGAAGACGGAGAATTGACAAATCTTCATCATAATTCTTCTTTCACCTATCTTTTCTTAATCTATGACTTTTATTACGTTTATTATGTTTTTCGTTATGACTAGCTAAGTTTTTAATCTAGGATTTTGTTGGAACCCTATGTAGGGATGGTGAACCCGTTTTCTTGAGATTATGCAATTATGATTTTATGATTATTTCTTCTACTTGTTATGATTGTTAATGCATGAACTTGATCAATTTATGTGTTTTATCTGTGATTATTGGGATTGACTCGACAGAGCTATTTTGATAATTAGACGATAAGTATAAGAACCTTCGAGTAGTTTTCACCGGATGAGTGTGTCAATTGCATGTGGTGTCGTAGACATACAGATATCACCTTAGGTAGCCATTTACAAGACTTGTTAGTTAATGCTTTATTCATAATTTGTTTGCATAGACATATAGTGAACCGTTTATGAATAATAGACTCATAATACACGCGACAGCGGGTTATGAGTAAATTTGTGTCTCGGGTTAATAATCATGAATCATATATTTCATAATTGAGGGGTTTTGGGTGAGCAATTCTTGCATAGGGGGAAGATAAAATCCTAGGTCCGTTTTATATTGATATTTTCTCGTGATTCTTTGCTTTCTTAATTAGTTTAATTGTTTAATTGATTTAACTCGACAAACTTGCGTAGGCTGGATAAAAATCATAGTTGTTAGAATTTGGTACTTATGATTAGATAATTTACGTATTCCCTGTGGGATCGACATCCGACTCTCACGAGTCCACTTTTACTACTTGTTTGCGATACGTGCACTTGCGCGTTAGGTATTTAGCACCCAACAGGCATGTTTGGTTAAATCCGAGCGTGAGAAAGTTGACAAAGAGGTGATGGAATACTTTGTTTTCTCTGTCGATGTTCGTGCGAGGATGAATCCACCGGTGCCTTTTAATTACTTCGGCAATTGTTTAGGTTACGGGATGGCGAGAATCGAGCGTAAGTGGCTAGTGGAGGAAGAAGGGTTTGTTACTGCTGTCGAGGCTATTGTTGAGGATGTCAAGAATAGGGTTAATAATAAGGACGAGGTTTTGAAAGGTGCCGAGAATTGGCTGTCTGAAATGAAGGAATTAGGTGAGATTAGGGTTCTTGGCGTAGCCGGTTCGCCGAAATTCGACTTGCATGATGCGGATTTCGGGTGGGGGAGGGCGAAAAAGGTCGAATCTTTGTCGATCGATGTAGATAAGTATTCGATGTCGTTGTACAAATCGGTTGAAGGAGGATTGGAGGTTGGATTGTCTCTTCCAAAGGAAAGAATGATAGCTTTTGGAGCTATATTTGATGATGGGCTAAGGTTTCCCAAATGACTACTAACGTTACATGTTAGTATAATATATTTAAAGGCATGTTTTTCATATTTAAAATGAAAATATTGTTTTAAATCAATCGCCAAACTAAAATATAAAATAAATACCATAGTCGTGTAATGAGTCTTTTATTAGATCTATCGTGCCTAGGGGTGGAAATCGGACGGATCGGATCGGATTTAGGCCTTTCGGAATATTTCCGATTTTTTTCGGAAGTCAATTAGCCATTCCGATTCCGATTCCGATTTTTTCGGATTTTAAAAATGGATTCCGATTCCGATTTTTTCGGAAATTTCGGAAAATCGGAATTTTTCGGAATATTTCATTTTCGGAATTTTCGGAATATTTTCGGAAATTTTCGGAATATTTTCGGAATATTCAGATTTTCCAAAAAAAAATTTTTTTTTTTCAAAATATATCATTGAATGAATAATATTAATAATAAAAAAAATAAAAAAATACCTACTTCATCATATAGGCAGACACACAGTAGAACAATACTAATAACATCAACAACAAACACAAAGACCTGCTTTCTTGATGAAATTAAATTATAAAAAAAGAAATAAAGGGAACAAGCATGCCTAAGTTCAAAATACCAACAATACAACACCTAATATACATCCAAACAAAAAAACCGAGAGGACATCCACATTGAATCACTCTCCAATTTTTCTCAATTGTTAACCTTCAATGCATTGATATCTACAATGAAAAAACAATCAAAAATATTAACATTTAGAAATAATTGTAACAAAGTAAAAGTATTATAAAATTGAAGACGAATACATACTCTTTTCTATTGATAAGAGCTTATCGAGGTCTTCTTCAACATCAACTAAAGGACCGCTTCTCAAACCAATCTTGACCACACACTAAAGATGTATCTTAGATCAATTACATTGCTACCAAAATTTTCTCTTGTTCCTCTCCTTGTTTTGCCCTTAAAGCTTAATTCCTTAAATAGTTGCAATAGATAAATGACAATTAGAGCAGAAGGGATCATAAGTTCCAGACAAGGATCTAAACTCATAAACATCAAATTGAAGGAGCTTATTGGATCTTAAGAGAAAGAAAAAAAAATCGACCTTCGTAACAGATGAACTCATAAATTGTACTTAGGAAGCATACATCTTAAACTTTCAGCAAATATTTTGAATTATCATATAAGATGTTTTGACATTAATATGTTAGCCACAACCAAGAAGCATCTCAATAGGAGATGTAAGAAAAAACATAAATCATAAGATTATGATACAAATTATGTACTAGAATAAGATATTCATGAAGAAGCACCTCTACCAATTCATAAACAATTCATAAAATTAATAAATGGGAGACAACTTACCATCTCTAACAGTTCCACTTAAAATGTTGCAATATATAATGAAGGCCTTGACAATTTATCCGGAAACTCAGCAAAGTCTACCAAAGGATTATCCTCCACAATTAATCTGCGGGTTGCCCCTACAAACATTTTGAATTCAAGTTCAAACAAATTCAGTAATAGATATAACAAGTAACATATTTCAATAACTAATATGCAAAAATAAAAATAAAAAGTAGGACAGTAGGTTTAAGGTTGCAGAAGGAAGAAAACAGGGGATTGACATGTTCTGCCAATAATTTTTTTTTGCAATTTTAAGAGTAATAAAGGATCGATTTCTATGAAGTACCTCTAGAATGAAGGGATGCAGCTGGTGCTCGGTGGAGACAACAAGTGGCGGCGCGGCTAGTGTTCGGCTGAGAAAATAAGGGGCGACGCGGTTGGTGCTCGGTGGAGACAATAAGGGGCGGCGCGGCTGGTGCTCGGCGGAGAGAATGAAGGTGGCGCTGGTGGTTCCCGACGGAGAGATGAGGGGACGGGCTGGGGCGGTGGTGGTAGGAGAAATGAGCGATTTACCGGAGAGAGTAAAGGGCTGGTGCAGCGGCGCAACGTGAGAGTGAGAATGAATTAGGGTTTACATCAGTACATGTTTTGAACCTTTTAAATATAAAAATAAATAAAAAATTGACTATATATAATAATTAATAAATGTTAATAATAATCGGAAAATATCGGAAATAATCGGAAAAAAATCGGAAAAATCGGAACTAATTTCGGATCAGAATTCGGAAATTCCGAAATTTCAATATCTAGTTCCGATTCCGATCCGATTTTTTTCGGAATTTTCGGAATTCGGAATTTCGGAATTCGGAATTGAAAAAACCGTTCCAAAATCGGAATTATTCGGATCGGATTTGGCGGAAATCGGAAATTTCGTTCCGATTTCCACCCCTAATCGTGCCATTTGATGAATGTATTATTTATTTTGTATTATATTTGAATTCATCATAACGATTATTATAATTTTAATATAAAAAAATGGGGCTATTTGAGAAAACCCCCTCACTACTTTTTTTAATTGAGGGAGGCCCAAAATATTTTAGTCTATTTGAGAAAAGTCCACACCCATTTTTAGCCATTATGTTTTCCAGCTTTACCCCCGCTCGCCACCTCATCACTGGGCCAGCGCTGATTTTTTTTTTTTTTTTTTTTCCGTTTTTTTAATCGACTATGAAGCATAGTCGATTAGTCTTAAATCGACTATGCTTCATAGTCGATTAAGGAAAATCTTTAATTTTTTAATTTTTTTTTTGTTTCTAATATTGTTTTTAAGTGTTTTTTGGTTTTTTTAATCTTTTTTTCTATCAGGTTTATTAATGCATAGTCGATTAAAATTTTAGCTATTAAAAATAACAAATCACAATTACAAAAAAAATGCAAAATCAACTATATTTAAAAAAATATATATACAAACATTGTAATTGATTTATACATTGGAATCAATAAACAAAAAAAAAAAAAAAAAATTAACAACTAGTGTCGGTTAACCTTAATCGACTACTGAACATAGTCGATTAAGCCTTAATCGACTATTGAACATAGTCGATTAAGCCTTAATCGACTACTAAACATAGTCGATTAAACCTTAATGCTCTTCTGCCACGCTCCCACCACCCCAACATCCAAAAAACGCCGCCATAACCATCACTACCACACACACATACGCCACCGCCAGCAGACCCATCGCAATCTTCCACCCAAAACCGCCGCCGCCAGCAGATCCATCGCAATCCTCCACCCAAAACCACCGCCACCAACAGACCCATCGCAACACCGGCGGCGGCGATGGATTCCTCACTCCGGCAGCTGATGCGTCCTGCTGATTGGCGAGCTGCTGCAATCCGGCGAGGAATTTATCGTCCCACACCGATCCCGACGAGCCTTGCCTCCTGAACGATACAGCATATCTCTGTAAACCCTCCATAAACAACAACCTTCTGTAAGAATTTTTCCCCCTTTTTTTTTCTTCTCTGTTTGATGATGGGTGGTGGTGGTGGTGGTGCTAATTCAAAGATGGAATTGAGTAAATCACTAAATATATAATTCTATAATTCAGAAATGATATGTGGACTTTATGTTATAATGTGCAAGTATATATGTGTGTAATTTGTGTGTGTGTGTGTGTTTGTGTGTGTGAGAGAAAGAGGAGAGAGAGAGAAGAGATAAGAGTGAGAATGTGACGTGGGTTGGTTGGGCGAAGAGGCCACAATGGGGCAACTTACTCAATGGCTATAATTTAGGGTTAATAAGGGTGGTTTGAGAATTATTAAATAATACTTGGGTAAAATATTAGGTAAGAGGGTTTTCTCTAATTATTTTTGGGATGGGGGGTTTTCTTAACTCATTTACCTAGATGAGGGGGGTATTGCTAATTATCCCTAAAAAAATTCATAACCCGATCAGTTGAATTAATGAAGTGAATAACTTCAATTTCATTAAGAAGGTGATTCGGAGATTATAATATCAATAATGAAGTTGGGTAGAACCCTTAGACATAGAAGTAACTCTACAAGATAGTTTAGCTATTTCTTGAGCTGTTCTATTTCCTTCTCGCAAGATAGTGCGAATCTGAAATTCTTCAAATGTGTTTGCTAAGAGTTTAATGTTAGAGATAATATTTCCGTAGCTCGGGCGGGAGCCAATTTCACCTTCAACTGCTACAACAACGGTATTTGAATTTCTCTCCAAAATGACTTTAGAAAAATGATGATCGCGGGTAAACTGTAGGGATTTTAAAGCAGCAATTAGCCTCAGCCGAAATAGGATCGTCTGGATATTGCTTCCAACATGTAGAGAATCAAACGACACGGCAACCGTCGGAGGTAGAAACCCAATAATTCAAAAATTGGCCTTAGGGCACGCTTGGCTAAGCTTATTTTAAACAGCTGATAAACTCTTATATCTAATAAGATGTTTTAAGAGTTGATAAGCTGTTAAATCTTATTTTTACAATTAATTTTTAAAGTTTTCGGATAATGAGTTTATTTGCTATTTATATTCATTAAAATATCTTAAATAAAAGAGTGGGGTAGAGTTATTTACTAAAAAAAGGTTAAATTACAACCACTATTGAGGTATGGTGAAATAACGAAAACCCCCTACTGTTTGGGTAATAACAATAATTCCCCTCAACTATAAATTTTCTAACATGTCCATACTCGCAGTTTCAAATTTTGTGGAATCTTCTTGATTATATGGAATATTATCACTTTTGTACCCGTTTTATTCCATTCGAGCTCCACATTTTGAAGCAAGATGATCATAAGATGTATTTTTTGGCTTGTAGTATCAGATTGTGGTGCATCAGAAACTGTATTTTTACACAAAACGAGTATAAACTAAAGCACATTCCACGGAATCTAGATGATTATGTTGAATTTGACACCATAAAGGTGGAGGTGTAAGAAAATTCATAATTGAGGATGGTAGATGTAATTATCCAAACAAGAGAGAATTTTTTTCGTAATTTAACCATACTTCATGGGTGGTTATAATTTACCAAAAAAAAAATTATTGCTTTCTAACAACTTTTAAAAAAAAATTACCAAACAGTTTAAAAGAGCTTATTAACTCTTACATATTATATAAGCTTTTTTTGACATCTTATTATCGTTAACAAATTGTAATAGCATGAATCCCCAAATCACAATTTTAGGCCATCGGCAAATATAGCAGCAAAAGCAGTCATTCTCTCCTTAGGCAAAGACGAACCAATCTCCAATCCACCCTCGGAATCATTAGACTTACACAACGAAATCGAACACCTCTCTCCATCAATCGACACAACTTCGAGCTTTCTCGCATTTCCCCACCCGAAATCCGCACTACACAAATCGAATCTCGGCGAACCTGAAACCCCAACAGCTCGGGCCCACACGTGTTTCATACTACCATCCATCCAATTCTCGGCCCCTTTCAAAGCCTCGTCTTTATTGTTACTCATGTTCTTGATAAGTTCAGACATAAATTCAGCCGCAACTAATAACCCTTCTTCGTCGACAAGCCTTTCATGCTCGATTTCCGCTATACCTACACCTAGGCAATTGCCGAAGTAATTTGTGGGCACCGATGGATTTATCCGCTCGCGAACATCGACCGCGAATTTGAAGTATTCGAGCGTACTATGATCGTCGTCTTCGTCTTCGACAGCATCTGCAGATTTCAACAAGGTTGTCCAAACGTAAGAAGCTGTTACGACAAAAGACGACACGTGGCCTAAATCCGGTTTCTTGGCAAGAACCATTTCTTTGAGCTTTTTTATGTCGGATTGGTGGAGAGTGAACGTGGCTCTGACCCTGTTCGTCGGTATCGGGAACGAAGGTGGTGTGAAAGGAATCTTTTTCATGGCTTCCCAGAATATACTGTCGATTTTGAGCGGATCGTTGATTACGGATCTGTCGAAAACGGGCGGAGATTCGCCGTGTTTGGTTAGAAACTCATCTTCTCCACCGGATTTACTGATCGAAGCCCACGCCTGCATGAAGCCAGCGATCGATCTCGCGTCGCCGAGGCTGTGGAGATTGGAGAAGCCGATGCAAATTCCCCGGCCGGGAAATAGCGTCACTTGAAGAGCAAAAACAGGGACTATTTTGTACTCGGAATCTTCCGTTGCCGGCGGGATCTCCGGCACGAAGTCGTAGAACTGATCGGCGTCGCGTGGGTGGTTTCCGACGAGTTCGTCGAAGTTGCGGCCGGAGACGGCGATTTTGAGCGAGACGGAGTCGCCGGAGACGTAACGGAGGAGGGGCTTATGGTCGGCGGTGTTTAGAGGGTAGAGGAGGTTTCCGGCGAGTGGGAGATAGTGTTTGAGAGTGAGGGAGAGTGATTCTTTGAGTTTTGGAACTAGGGTTTCTAGGAAATGTGATTCGGAGCAAGAATATTCGTAGAAGAGAAGGCGGCGAATAGGTTGGGAGCGAATCCAGACGATGTCGAAGAAGGAAAGCGGCAGTTGTAGCTCGGCGGCGGCGGAGCTGGGCGGAGGTGGAATCCGGCAGGTTTTAATCAAAGTCGTCGTTGTCGTCGTCGTCGTCATAGCGACCTTTCAGGAAAACAAGTGTGGTGGCCGGAGGAGATTTGATTGGCTAACAAGACTTATTTGTTCTTTTTTCTAGAGTACATATTTTTGCTATGTTTATAGAAGATGATTGACATTGAAATGCGTTGAAGTTAGCTGGCATGGAACATGCCACTCTTTATTATATTGGTTAGAGCATAGTTCGAGATCATTCGGTATATTTCATCGGGTGTAACATTTACAAAACCGATCTATATTATTGATATTATATTTTCTTGCATTCCGTTTCTTATGATAATAATAACGGCAAAGTTCATTCTGCACTCCTGTACTATCACATTCATCGCCCTATACTATCAAATGTATCGAAATGGTTCCTCGGTTTGCAAGTTTTTCACCGCCCTATTCTTTTGTTTCATATGACTATATATCAAATGCTGATGTGGCGAGTTGACTTTCAATTTTCATTTCTTAGCATTTAGATTTGTTTCAAATGTCGATGCACTTTAATGTATTGAAATACATCTCCCATTTTATATTACGGTAGATTATGGCAACTCTTCTGAGGTAAGGATAAATTACGAAAAAATATCTCATGTGTAATTACAACCATCCCTTTATTATGAAACTTCTTACACGTCCACCCTTATGGTGTCAAATTCAACATATTTTTCTACATTCCGTAGAATGTTCTGTAGTTTGTACTCATTTTATGTTAAAATGCAGTTTCTGATGCAGCCACGAGAGACACATCTTGTGATCATCTTGTTTCAAAATATGGAGGTCGAATGGCATAAATTGGGTACAAACTAGAGAATATTCTATATGATTTAGAAAATTCTACTAAATACACCGTAAAGATAAACGTATAAAAAAATTCATAATTAAGAGATATTTGTAATTATCGAAAAATGATGATTTTTTTTTTTTTGTAATTTGCGTTACCTCGTAGAATGGGTGTAATGTACCCTTTATAATATTATTCTATTTCCAACTCACATGGGCAAGACAAAAGATCTCAAATAAAATAATGGCAAGAGAAAATATCTCAAATAAAATAGTGGCACGGGAAAGAGAAAAGGAAAAAAATTAGAGAACGGAAAATGTGGATTTAATTAATGAGAAGCAGAAGATTACAATTTGTTTCAAGGGCAACTGTGCAATCTAAAATAATTTGAACTAATTATTATACTAGATTCTATTGACTTTCTCCTACATTCAAATCTCAATTTTAATTTGTGAGATCATTGACTATATTATTGATATTATATTTTCTTGCATTCCGTTTCTTATTATAATAATAACGGCAAAGTTCATTCTGCACTCCTGTACTATCACATTCATCGCCCTATACTATCAAATGTATCGAAATGGTTCCTCGGTTTGCAAGTTTTTCATCGTCCTATTCTTTTGGTTCATATGACGATATTTCAAATGCTGATGTGGCTAGTTGACTTTACATTTTTTCATTACTTAGCTTTTAGATTTATTTCTCAATTTTCGGATTTGTTTCAAATGTCGATGCACTTTAATTAATGTATTGAAATACATCTCCCATTTTATATTACGGTAGATTATGGCAACTCTCCTGAGGTAAGGACAAATTACGAAAAAATCTCTCATGTTTGTGTAATTACAACCACCCTTCAACTATGAATCTTCTTACACGTCCACCCTTATGGTGTCAAATTCAGCATAATTTTCTACATTCCGTAGTATGTTCTGTAGTTTGTACTTGTTTTATGTTAATTTTATGTTAAAATTCAGTTTCTGATGCAGCTAAGAGACACATTTTATGATCATCTTATTTCAAAATATGGAACTCGAATGGGATAAATCGGGTACCAATTGAAGAATATTTTATATGATCTAGAAAATTCCACTAAATATGAACATATAAAAAAATTATAATTAAAGGATAGTTGTAATTATCTTTTTAATTTTTTTTGTAATTTGGGTTACCTCAAAGGATGGGTGTAATGTACCCTTTATATTATTCTATTTCCAACTCACATGGGCAAGACAAAAGATCTCAAATAAAATAATGGCAAGAGAAGATATCTCAAATAAAATAATGGCACATGAATCAGGAAAGAGAGAAGGAGAAAAAAATAGAGAAGGAAAAATGTGGATTTAATTAATGAGAAGCAGAAGATTTCGATTTGTTTCAAGGGCAACTGTGCAATCTATACTCTACAAAACATTTTGAACTAAATATTATTGATTATATTGACTTTGTGGTACATTCAAATCTCAATTTTATTTTGTGAGATCATTGACTCTGACAAAAAATATCCCTAATTACAATATTTTGAAAACCGATCTGACGTTGAATCAGACAAGTAATTGGGTCACAGTTGAACCGGTCCAACCGAGGTTCAACCGAGTTTTATATATTTTTTTTTTGAAAAAAAAAATATATAATTATAAGTGACTATTTTATAAATATAAATATATTTATTGTTAAAAATAAATTTTAAACATCTACCTCAAGATTTTAACTAAATTCATGAATAATTCACAATATTCTTAACATAAATTATATAAATTTATAATGTAAACATAAAATTGGCGTAAATTCCCAACCGAGGAACACATAATTTAATTTCATGGTGTCTCTTGGACTACTTCAGCTCATTTGAACAACTAGCTAGCATTAATAAACAATAAACGAGGCAACAATAAATGTTGTACGAGGGCTTCAATATAAATATTTAGGGTAAATTACAAACACCCCCCTGAGGTATGGTCAAATTACAAAAACACCCATCTTGTTTGGATAATTACAACCACCCCCTCAACTCATCAAATTTAGTGGAATCTTCGATATTATATGGAATATTATCACTTTTGTACCCGTTTTATCCCATTCAAACTCTACATTATGAAGCAAGATGATCATATTATGTGATTTTTAGCTTGTATATATCAGTTTGTGGTGCATCGGAAACTGTATTTTTTACACAAAAACAGTACGAACTAGAGCACATTTCACGGAATCTAGATGACTATGTTGAATTTGGCACCATAAAGGTGGAGGTCTAAGAAAAAAATCATAGTTGAGAGGGGTAGATGTAATTATCCAAACAAGAGGGGGGTTTTGTAATTTGACCATACCTCAGGGGGTGTTTGTAATTTACCCAAATATTTATAATTACAACAAACCAACCCAATATTTTCCTGGAACCTCCTTCCTCTTTTTTATTTCGAGGTTTTTGTGCATAAGTCTTCAACCAAGCATCTTTATTATTTTAGGTTTATGGGCTATATCTCTTTCACCAATAAGTCCACCCCTTTAATATTTATTATAAATAAAGGAAACATTCATGTATATGCCAATATTACCCCCAACCCTTTATACCCAATTCTTAATTGTAACCACAATATAATCAATTTTGTCCACAAAAATCCAATTTTTACCACAAAAATTCAATTTTGACTTTTTTTTTTCAAATTTTTTTTTTTCAAATTTTTTCTTTTGCCACCGGATTCCGGCGTTGACCGGCGGTCAACACCGGTCTCCGACATTGACTTTTTTATTTTTTTTCTTCCGGATTTTTTCGCCGGTTTCCGGCGTTAACTTTTTTTTAGTGTTTTTTTAAGTTTTATTTATTTATTTATTTTTTTTTTTTTACGTCCACCGCTAAACATCGACCGTAATTGTGATGTCACTGACAGTAAATTAATGTTATTATACTATCAATGACAGTTAATTAACGTAATTGTACTACCGTTGACAATACATTTATGTAATTGTTCTGCCGTTGAAAGTAAATTAACGTAATATGTTTATTTTTTATTTTTTGTTATTTGTTTTATTTATTTTTTTGATTTGTTGACAAGTCAACGTAATTATATTACTGTCTTTAACAGTAAAACAATTGTAAACACAATAATATTACTGTCAACAACATCAATATTATTCTTTTTGGGTTTTTTGTTTTGTTTGAGTTATTCACGAAGTAACGTAATAATATTACTGTCTATTATTGTAATATTACTGTAAACACAATAATGTTACTGTGGTTGACGGTAATATTACTGTTGTTAAAGTAATATTGCTGTCTACCACATCAATATTATTATTTTGTTTGAATTTTTTTGTTTGTTTGAGTTATTCACGGAGTAACGTAATAATATTATTGTCTATTATTGTAATATTACTGTGGTTGACGGTAATATTATTACTGTTGTTATAGTAATATTAATGTCACTAACAGTAATATTAATTCTTTTGGCTTTTTATTATGTCTACATTTGTTGAACTGTCAACATAGTAATATTACTCTATTACACAATAATAATGAGTTTTGTTGTGTTAATATTACTGTGCTAGAGATTAATATAGCAATATTAATGTGTTAAACTGCAGTTTAGTTAATTTTACTGTGTTTAACTGTAATATAGTTAATATTACTGTCAATCACAACAATATTGTTGTTTCAACGAAAAAAAAAAGTTACATAAAGAAAGAAAAAAAAAATTCGAAAATTTCAACGCCGGAAACTGGCGAAAAAATCCGGAAGAAAAAAAAATGAAAAGTCAATGGCGGAATCCGGCGGGAAAGAAAAAATTGAAATTTTTTTTTTGAAAAAAAAAGGTTTTTGGTCAAAATTGAATAATTTGTGAAATTTGGGGTCTAATTGAGGTTAAATATAGTTAAGGGTGAAATTAGAGCATATTAAAGTAGGGTAAATTACAAACACCCCCCTGAGGTATGGTCAAATTACAAAAACACCCCTCTTGTTTGAATAATTACAACCACCCCCCTCAACTCATCAAATTTAGTGGAATCTTCGAGATTATATGGAATATTATCACTTTTGTACCCGTTTTATCTCATTCAAACTCTACATTATGAAGCAAGATGATCATAATATGTGATTTTTAGCTTGTATATATCAGTTTGTGGTGCATCGGAAACTGTATTTTTTACACAAAAAGAGTACAAGCT